AACTGTCTCTAGTGCTACACTATATGACAGGTCAGGATGGATGATTCTGAAAGCCCTTCTTTGGATCCGTTCCAAATCTTCACTGATGTAGTTTGGTAGAGAACGATGGAATACAGGACTTGCGTATTCTAGGACGGGCCTAATACATGTCACATAGAATTGCACCAGTTCACTTGGTGCCACTCCGGATCTCTTGAGTTGACGTAAAAAATAGAGACGAGAGGAACATTTTCTAATTAGTTCAGAGGAGTGCAGCATAGAGCAGCGGTTATTCATTCTGTGGGAATTTGACGGCCGATTTGAAAGATAAGGCTTTTGAAAAGTTCTATGATTCCTTGGTGTAAAAGAGACTGCATGCTGCATTCTTGAAGGAAGGAAGGAAGGAAGGTTGGAATAGCGCGCCGCAGGTTTTGATGCACCTGTGTCATTTCTTTGGGCATCTGTCGCCTAAACATCATCAATGATTCGCGCGCCCACGTGTATCTTATTCAACAGCGTACAACAGGTTAGTCCACAGATGACGATTGGGAAGGTGAATGTGTACAGCCGAAATTTTTTCCACATTGTAAATAAAAAGGGCAAGTTTTACATTGTACGCGCGCTCATTTGAAAGTCCAAGGTTGATCGTCACCATTTAGAGCGCTTGTAACTAGAAAGCTGCCTGGCGCTCTTGTGATGTCAAGTTAAAGTAAAACAAGTACAGAGTGGTTGCCAAAAGATTCTCTTATTTTCAGGGTCGGGATTTTGGAGCATTTTGTAGTTTGTGTGTGAAACTGGGATAAAACGATAGGAATGTTAAAAGGTAAGAAAACATCAGGCCAATTAATTTAAGGTGAAAAAGGAAATACACTTACAATTCAGTGGTTGTAGTTGGAATGCATTTCCAGTTATGTGTTATGTTGCTTTCTCTACAGTTGTGTTTGTTGGTAACTTGACCAGAACTTGTTATCGAACCTTTACTGCGACACCAGTGATTGCAATCTGCAAAATCAATCGCGCAAGAATAAGACAGTTGATAGGGGCAATTTTTCACGAAAGCGGTACCCTTCGATATATGCATTAATACGGTATTAATAAAGAACTTTCATTTTTACTTATTGATTAAGGGTGAAACCAAATTTCCAATATTATGTTTTGGTAAATTCGTATTGTTTACAAACCTAAATGGACACAAATTACCCGTGATAAAAACAGTGGCGAAACAAGAGAAAGTAGACTAAAACTTTGTACATTCATTTTCCACCGAATGAACTGAATCATCAACGGATAAAATAAGGACAAAATTCAACACAACTGTTTGTGCGAACTACTATGGTTGTTAATTGCAAAATGTCTCATCTACATTGAATGAAATTTAACAGCATTGAATCCTTACCCAGAACGGTTACTTCAACCGTTTTTGAGTTATTTCCTTCATTGTTTTCTGCTAGAAGAGTGTACTTATAGGTACCGGCCGTCCGCTTTATTTGAAATCCTTTTATATTGGAACCGCCCTTCAAAGGTGTCGATGTATTCATTAGAGTCAATTTAATCGGTTGGGTACCTTCCAGCCGAAACCATACATAATGGTCTGGTACAGTTCGCAACTCCGGCAACGGTACGCTTATCCAAGGTTTTTCTGAAAAAGAAAATTTAGCAGGTTTCTAAGCTGTTCCGATTTCAAGGTACATCACGTTGCAAGCGAAATTAGAGTTGCTTAAACCTACTTAAAAATACTTCAAATTATAAGCGAATACTCTCTATCTTGTAGAACACCACGCTCAACGAAACCCAATAATTTTTAGCGGAGCCTCCATTGCTATAGAAAATGGAATCCTATCGATGCGAAAAAAATGCAATAAAGATCTTGAATTTGGTTTGTTTAACTAACAACAAAAAAACTTCGACAAATGGAGTTTGAAAAAACGCTTTTAGCTTGGTCACGCTCCAGGACCAATCTAGTCTCCGATTGGTCAAAGTTTCGACGGGTGAATTCATGCGTAAATCTCTTACTGGGGTCACTGAAATGGAACAGTTGGTTATGATTCGTAATAATGACCTCCTGTTCTTCCTCAGTGACCTGCTCTTTCCTTCATTAAAAATAATAACCTGTTCAAAAGAATAGAAGGATGCATTAATACGATTCATGTTCAGTGTTATCAGTCGGTAGATTTCCCATGCGGATTATGGTAGCAGCTGAGCTACATTAATTCTTGCACTTTATCATCATTTGCACTCAATATAATGTGACTGCCCAAACCACAGGCAACCCACGCTCACGTTAAAAGTGTGTTATGTAAATTTACTTTCTCACAAGAGAGTCGGTGTCGTGTTACAAGCGATCGTTGAGACTTGAGAAATAAAATACTGAGGTCTGCGAACGCTAAATATCATTTTTACTTTTTTCTATAAACTAAATAAAGGAGACCTACCTAGTCTCCTTTATTTATGTTATAGAAAAAAGTAAAAACAATGATATATAGCGTTCGCAGACCTTGTATGTTACTTCTGATACAAAGTCTCAACGGTTGCTTGTAACGCGACACCGACTCTCTTGTGAGAAAGTAAAATTACATAACACACCCATAACGTGAGCTTGGGATGCCTGTGCCCACACTAACACGTTGGTTTTGAATTGTTTGTGCTATACTTTTAGCTGCTTTGTTACTACATGATAAGAAGAAAATACATACAAGACGACAATTCCAGCTGATAATAATTTTACTTACGTGCAACTGTCGACTCTGACACCAAAATTAATACCAGCAAAATTCTTTCTGGTATTGACATCTGCAAAAGAAAATAAATAACAGTGAAGATCGTGGTCTCCTCAAGTGAACTGATTTGCAGCATACAAGCATAGCGGTTGTATTTTACTGTTCTTGAGCTTGAAAACAATAAAATATCCAATGGGCAAACGCTACAACTGTGCATCAACTGTACATATATGTTGCTAATCAACCCGCCCATCATTGTGCTTGGCGCATCACTGATGTTGATTCTTTCGGAACAAAGTAACAAAGTACTGACAAAGTGGCTGTTAGTTTGTCATTAAAGTTCGTTGTAATGATGATCATGAGGTCGGAAAATTTCTTACTTGGCTTGGTTATCTAAGATAAATAACAAAAAATGAGGAATAGATAACGATTTAGAGGTAGCACATCAACACATAGTGGTTCTTCGTCTTCCACTGCTGTGCGTTTTATTTATTTATTTTTTTCGGTTCTTGAGGGGAGGGGAGAATCGGGGTACCTGAAGAAAAACCTCTTGGGGCAAAGAAGAGAACCAAAGACAACTCAACCACATATGGCGTCCACGCGCGAATTTGAACCCGGTTCGAGTGCTCTGACCACTACACCTTTACAATTCTTACTCTCTCAGGAGGTAATGGCGAGTTCGATTTCGACGAGGAAGAAAGGGGCCAACTTAGGCCAACTTAAAATTTGAAGGCAAGATATACAGAGTTTCCAAAACTGTGCAATGGACCCACAGCAGTGAAGATTCAAAAACATAACCAAGGTCAATCAACACGCATATATATATATAGGTTCGGGCCTCCTTAAACCCAGCTCAGAATATTGCTTGACCAAAGAAGTCGATACTGTTGTAAAAACATACATATTTACGTGACAGGTACGTTTCGTCCTGAGTTCGGTTAATATAAGGCCGTTGTTGATTTTCGATGCATAATAAGATTCAGCAAATTTTTAGCATAGTATCAAGAAGCGGAAAATTTAACCCCCCAAAAAACGCAAAAGTGGGAGCCCTTTTTACCTGTAGGTTTGTTCTTAAATAAGAATTTCGGTTGCATTCGAAACATTATAAAGATCTCTAGCTTTTCCAAACAACTTCCTTTTGCCTTTTAAACAGTGCGTTGAAATTGTCTTAGTTTGCATCTACTAATCGAGCGCTAGGCGCAATGAAAAGTTCTGCTGTTTGAATCAACAGTCAAATGTCAAACAAAATGGCACAGTCAACGGAAAAGGCGCAGAATTGTTCACGAAGTAATGCATGTTACCGAGTTCATGTGACGTTAATTTTTTTTGTAAAAACACTGAATGTTCAACTAAATTGAAATTATTTCACTGTTATCTTATAGCATTGGCACAAGGAGGAAATAATTCCACTGTACACTTTATGATACTTCCAGGTACTTAATCCACGTCTTTTTCGCCAGCTTGAGGAGAATAATAAAACTAACAAAACTACTGATACCAATTGCAAGTTACTAACCTTGAACAAAGCGTGATTACAACATTGCTTGCAGGAGAAACTTTTACGACAATAAACCACAAGTCAAGCTTTAACAGTGTTTTATTAAACACCTGCAACCAAACCCAAAAATTGAGCTCAGATGACTCTGACTGCTGTCAAGAATAAATATGCACGGATATATGTATATCTTTTTTAATTGGTGAACAAAATTGCCGATGAGCCAGTGAGGCTACAAACCTTTTAAGTTAATTGAAATTTCATGTAAGTTTTTCCTTTATCGCTAATATTATTGCGCCAAAGTTGCCATGGTCTCTTTACAAATGATCATGGAGATTGCCAAGTCTCCATTGTTTTTTTTAAGCAAGTCGGTTGCTACAAACGGACAGTGAAGTCCTGCCGACTGATTTCAAATTGACATAAAACTCGAAGTACGAAAGATGGCGGTTTCTGTTGTTATTTGCCCGTTATCAGTGAATCATTGGATAATTAAAATTTTGCGCACCTACTTCCCTAACAGCTAAGTAACAAATTAGACGATGTTTGTTAGTTAGGTGAGATCTTTGTCCTAAGAAGTATGCAAAATGCTTACTTGTTCACATTAGGAAACCTAAATGCCTTTGTTAGGAGCAAGATATTTTCTTCTGCTTGACATGCAGTAATGAAGCGAAGAAGGATCCTCTTGTGCAATTTGTTGTGTTTTCAAACTTTTGACATATTTGCATTGATATGACACAATGTGCGACATCAGCTACAGCAAAGTGTCATCTTTAATTAATGTATTCATGATCACAAAATGCAGAGGCGAA